TGTTGTTGTTATTGTTGTTTTATAATTGTTGTTTATAATTTGTACAATTAACCTCCCTGTGGTTCGACCCCGGTCTTGCTGGGTTATTTATTACTTCGACACTCCTGCACTTGGGAGAAGACATCAATCTTTTCATCGTGTCAGTTATATATGTTGTGGTTGTGATATTGATGATGTTTATGAGATTGAGACCCAGGATCATTGGGCCATGATTGAGTTATGAGATGTAAGATATTAGAAGTATAAACAGGGTATATGTTCATAACTTGAGAGCTTCTAATATAGGGAAGACTTTGCCGAAATTTCAGTGAAAATTTCGGTAGACTTGTATATAAGAGCTAGAAAAAACAAATACCTGTATTTTTACGCACTAAATCATAGGAAAGTAACTATAATCACATATGAAAGTGTAGGGCATTATATGTTGTGGTGGATGAATGTATGTGATTTTTTTTTTTTGAGAATGTTGTATTGTGAAATCACATGAGTATTGCGAGAATGTGTATTGTCACTGCTATAAGATGTTAATTTACATTCCCCTATATGGGTTGTGCTTTGCATATATATATATATGTGTGTGTGTGTGTGTGTGCGCGCGCGCGCATGTGTAAAGTGTTCATATTAAATTTTATCGAGATTTTCACTAAAATTTTGGTAACCAAGTTACCTTTCACCCACTGCACTGTGGTGACTACTCCCTCCAATCTAGTAACTGTACCAAGGCTCCCGCGGCCATTCCTGCTACCACAGCTCTCAATATATAATCTGTAAAACTAGGATATGAAAATGGGCTTAATACAGGTAAAACTAGGATATGAAAATGGGCTTAATGCAGTTATCGGTGCCACTGGTGGGGGTATATTATCTCCCCCTTGTCTATTTGATACCTCGAGCATTGATATCTCTACCTGACTGGACACTGAATCATCTTGAAGTTTTATTGACGTATGGCAGATTGGGTCGAGCTATTACAAGCGATAACATAATGAATTACAAAAAAAAATTCCACCAATTTTTTCTATAAAAAGTCGGGTTGTTATAATAACTATGTTTTTTTCTCCTAAATTTAAATCATTTGAATTCTTATGAATTTCTATTTTTAATTGTTTTAAGCTTGTATTGAAAAATCATGTTGTTAATAAACAAAAGTCATAACTATGTCAAATAAAAAAAGGAAATGCATAAATGAAGGACAAGATTTTGATTGAATAAATATATTTTTTTACTTTAGAATTTAAATTACTTAAATTCTTTAAAATATTTTATTTTAATAAATGTTAAGTTAAATATACATAAACTTTGAGAATAGCTCTTGGTTGTGTGGAAAAAAGAAGGAGGTTAGTCTTGTCATTTTCTAAATTACTAAGTAAGAGTAATGACACGATCAAAAAATTGATATCTTCTCCTAACTATAGGAGTGTCAAAGTAATAAATAACCCGGTAAGACTAGAATCGAAGTATAAGGAGGTTAATTGTATAAATTATAAATAACAATAACACAACAACAACAAATCCATAATAACAACAACAACAACAATTGAAAATGATAATAACAACAACAACAACAATAATAATAATAATAAAGGGTGTTCGGGTATGGACTACACCAGTATTTCTTTTCTAAGTTTGGTCATCTCTTTATCCTTTTAGTTTCAGTTTTTAAACTTATCAATCAATCCTTTTATTTACATGATAGACCTGCATTGAAAATGAATATTTACCACAAATAAAAGATATCTTATATTATTATATATGTTATTACAAAACATGATTTAGTTAAGGAGTTATTGATCCTTCAAGTACAAAATAATAATATAAAACCTTAATAAAATTACACTTTTAATTACTAATAAAGTAACAATTCAACATGCGAGAATAGGGCATCCCACTTTAATCCATAACTATTGCTTTTATTTGTGTGAATTCTTCTAAAACTTTTACATGTTAATGATCAATTATGATTTTACAAATGTAATTATGTCCAAAACATTTTGAAAATAATTTCTACCACGAAATGTTAAATGTTAACATCACTGCATTATTTGTAGGACTATTTTACCCGCATGAAATGATATGCAATTTCAAGATTAATGATTCATTTGTTTATATATATATATAAAGACAAAAATATTTATATAAGAAAAAAATCCATCAAATGAAATTTTTTTTATCTTATCTATGATACACCATTTGCCACTTTTATGATAAAACATGCAACTCAAACCAAAAAAAAAAAAAGAAGGAAAATTTTAATTTATGAAAAACTTAAAAAAATATTAAAAAATAACATTGAAAAAGACTAGAAAAAAAACTTTTGAAATTCAAAATAGAAAATAAAAAACCATGCCCGTAACCCCCACCCCGCTCTAGGATTTCATTGAAATTATATTTATTGCAAAATTAAACAAATAGTATTTGTCTTATATAATTTTTACCATTAACTAACTTGAATGTTTAATAGAACTTTTACTAGTGCATCATGTATGTGATTTGTATTTGTCTTATATAATTTCTACCATTAACTAACTTGAATGTTTAATAGAACTTTTACTAGTGCATCATGTATGTGATTTGTATTTGTCTTATATAATTTCTACCATTAACTAACTTGAATGTTTAATAGAACTTTTACTAGTGCATCATGTATGTGCGAAAAAGATAGTAAAAGAAAAGATTGGTTTTATAGAGGGTTTCCACCCTTTCCTGTGATGGACCATAGTGTTTGTTGTAAATGGGCTTCTGGCTGGTATAATCTATGGGTTTATTTCTAATAGAGTAGAAGGATTGATAAGAATAATAATAATTAAAAAAAAAAAAACACTCTATAATGTCTTAGACGTTGGATAGATTGGGGGAGAAAACTAAGCAAACATAATTGTTTGTTCAATATTCCCCTAACATTATTCACACATTCATTTGAGATGCATTTCCTGCGGGCGAATAATTATTTTTAAAAATATTTTTTAAATAAAATTATATTAAAATATTTTTTTAATATCTAACATATTGAAACAATTGAAGAAAAAATATAATGTTTGGAAGTAATTAGTAATATATTATTAGTTATTTTTTATATCTCTTTGAATAGGAAAACAGACATAAAAATAAAAAATAAAATAAAATTCATAACATAATTAATAATTAATAAGATGTTACTAATTATTTTTGAATATCATAAAATTCTTCTGAAAAAAAAACTAAAATTAATTTTTTTAATAAAATTTTAAAAATACTGCAAACACTCCCGTGATCAAGGAGTTAAGATTCCTTGATGTAACATTTCATGGCTACCATGTATACCCTTTATTTTGGAAAAAGCGTTCCCTTAAATGAAGCTTTTTACAGTACATAATCACTGGAATGGTATGATCCTTCCATCGCTCTAGAATGAAAATCACTGGAATGGTATGATCCTTCCATCGCCCTAGAATGAAAAAGGGCGATCTTGTAGATTCTGGTCCGTGAAGATACTTCATAAGTTTGTTTTTTTTTTCATTAATATTGAGATATTTTCATTTTCACAAGCAAAAGGAGCTTGTGTATAAATCTTCTAATGAACTCTTGCAGAATACAGAGGATGCAAACTAGAAAAAATGCAAAATTCCTTTTCCTTTTCTCATAAGATATCTTATATGCAGTGGGCATGCTATTATCAACATGGAAAAAGCAAAAATGAACGTTCTACATGGATCTTCCGGTTAATAAAATTTATCTTGCTCAATTTATTGTGACACCACAGTAGTTGATCCGTTGTTACTTTGGACATGTTCAGAACCCTTGATACTAAATTTATATCCACTTGAGAGAAGAAGCAAAGAACTTGATCAGAATTGTCCCCTCGATGTTTTTGGAACTTCTTCAATATGCAGTTTCCGCTTCTCCAAATGTCTTTAAGCCTTTTCTCCTTCTGTTTTCCCGTTGAGATATCAAAAATTAGTAAATAAGATTACATGGTTCGTACCTAAAGCAATAGATGGAGAAGAATTATGAAGCTAACCTTTTGAAGACTTGTTCGAACTTCTGTCAATAGCTCTCGTTCAGTGGGATCTTGGGGTTCTATTTGAGTTCCCTTGCGACCCTTTGATATCACCTTTTCTGCATCTTTATCAGATCGAACAAATTGCCAAAAAATTCTTATTGATTCTTCCATGATCTCTACTAGCATATCACTTGTAATTGAATCACCATCTTTCCCTTTTCCTCTTGCCTTTTTATCCATCATACTGTCCTCTGCAAAACAATTAAGCTTTTCTTCTTTTAATTGGTATGAAAAAAACTCTCCCGAAGGGCCAGACTGGATAGATTTTAATGCTGCTTTCATTCTTTTTGCCTAACAAATCAAGAAATGAGCTGGTTTATCTATTGTTATTTGTAGTCCCATCTAGCTTAATGTGTTATTCATTGGTATAGTCAGTTGAGGGCATAAAACAACCAGAGTAAGTCACTATCAATGGATATGCACATTCATGATAGTTCAATAGCTTACCTCTTATTACTGGAACTTGAAGGAGATTACGCAGCACACATCGATTCTTGATGTAATTTTGTACCCTTGGACCTTCAAAAGGTTCATTCTCTATAAATCTCTGCAACAGCACTTGAAACTGTTGAAATTCACCAGCGACTTCGTTGTAGAGTCGCATCCCATAAGGGTCAGAATCCCATAGCTCTAGCGCTTTTTCATACTGCCAATGAAGGATTTCCCATGAGAGGCACAGTTGCCCAACATACACCACTTCCAAATCGTTATGCAATTCCCTAATAAAGTTCACCATCGGGTCAGAACTGGACTTTTTGCGCTTGCTTAGCAGGAATTTCTGCGAAAGAAGGGATGTCAATGCTGGAGCTGAAGCTTCACGCCTTGTAATCGATTCAAGTGGGTCCTTTGATTGGAGAAAGCCTATAGATTGTGATGAAGCACGAGGAACAAGGCACTGATGAAACTTGAAATATAATAAAGCAGGAGATGTAATTGACCACTTGTGCCTATACTACATGGATAATATATATAATTATAGCTTACAGGTCATTTTAAATCATGCACGTTTCTTTTCCAATTCCACTATTAGAAGAAGATTGTTTGCAAAAGAAATCATGCTTGGAAAATAGATTACGTGGAGCATTGAAGTCAGTGCAAGATTATTTGAAATGTAGCAGAGAATTGAGATTTAGGTAAAGCCATTCTAGCAAATGAAAGATAAAGGTTGGTAGAATGACACTAAAGATTAGCCATCTGCATCTTCAACTAGCTATAAAATGAGGTGGCCCCAAATGCATAAAGATATGTTTATCTTTTAACGTTGATGGATAAATAGCTTTAAAGGAGGAAAGCAACAGAAGCATTCTTGACGGTGCAAGAGAATGGAACTCGTAGAAGGATTTTACTAGCCATGTTAACATCAGATACCATGTTGTGTATGCATGTGTGGGTAGTGGAAAAGGTCGACACAATTCGGTTCAACCTCCTAGTTTTGTGTAATTACTACTCTAAATGCTTGTGATATGAGCAGGAACCAAACAAACTAGATTTAGTGGGTCCTTGTAGTTGCCCCTAACTTCTAAAAGACTGCAAGGGTAGGTTGTGCTTTAGCCAACACTGATTAAAAGATCTTAATTAGCAGGTTAATATTGATAGTATCAATAGAAAAAAAAAATTGAATGCTTCTTTTTAATTGCAAATTGCAAAAGAACTAGAAAGGAAAAGATAAAACATCTGCAGAAAGAAAAGTTAAATGAAGAAAAGGCTAGTGACATGTAACTTACTCATTGCATACATCTTCTGGTAATTCAAGATATCGAATTTCCGCATTCTTTCTCTGTAACTCTTGTAGAACTTGTGAAGCTCACTCATTCTATCTTCATGCTGGAACTTCTCATCAATTTTCCATGGCTTCAAATCTTCCATTATTTTCGGTGATTCGTCTTCTTCTAAAATGGTTGGCAGACCTGTTGCTCTGACCTTTTTCAACTCCATCTTGAGCTGTTCTATCAAATCTTGATGCTCCCATAAGGTTTCCAAGCCATTTGAATCCTCGGAATCGGCAGCCGAAGAATTCTGAGAATTGGACTTCGGCATTTCTAAAATATCCTTGGCTTCATTTTCTTTGCAGCCATGTTCCTTTTTACTGGAATTGTTGTTGTCTTCAAAATCTTTGTCAGACAGCATTTCTGTGTCTTCTTCTACTTTAGCCGGATTCTGCGCAGTCTCTTCTTTCTTTTCAAGCTCTTCCATTATGTTACTATCTTCCTCATCAAAATCATCGGTCTCGTAACCGGCATTCAAATTCTTCAAATCTAGATACTCTAACTCCAAATTTTCGTCGGTTGATTCTTCCGTCTGCCTATCAATTTTTTTCAAAATATCATGTCCAAATACATCAAAATCTTGATCTGACAAGAACCCGTTGCTAGTTGAAGCTACATAACGACTCATAAGCTCATGGCTTGAAAAAATAGAATCTGAAAGAATAAAGTCCTCTGTTAGCAACGGAGCATCATCATCTCTCGAAGCATCATATTCATCACGCATGCTATCTGCAGAAATCTCTTTTATTTCTTCACGAACAGATCCTGCTTCTGATTCTGATTCTTTTTCTGCAAAGTCCTTATCAGATAAAACCCCATCCTCCATAATCTTTTTATTGGCAAAAAATTCACCATTAGAACCCGCATACAACTCTTTCACGGTAAGACTAACAACCTCTGGCTCCTCCAAGTAATGACTGAAATCTCTCTCTGACAAGAACTCATACTTGTTAGTGCTTGGAGGAGGTACCGAACTCGAGAGAACAGGCTCATCTTCTTCTCTATAAGTTTGAAACTGAAATTTGAAGAAGAACTTTGGTGTTTCCTTTTCTTCTAATTCATCAACTTCTTTCGTCTCCATAAATTTAGAAACTCCAACTGCTGGTTCCTTGGCTTCTTTTTGACTTGGCCTTTCCTTTTCTTCTAATTCAGAAACTTCAACTTTTGGTTCCTTGGCCTCCAAACTCTCATCGCTCTTCACTCTGAAAAAAAGGAATTTAAATTAATAGACGCAAAATTAGAGTACTTCTGACAAGGTAACTAAAGAAAGAATACTGAGTACCTGAACATGGTTCTATCGAAGAAACCAAGCAGAGAAAGGAACAGAGTGGAGACAGAAAGCCAGAAAGAGGCTGCAAAAGGAAGTAATTTCTTATAAAGAAACGCATTAACAGAACCCATATTCAGCAATCGGAATTGAGAGGTGGGCAAAATTTTATTTTAGGAACCCATCAATATAACTCTATTAATCTTTCTTCTTCGTTTTTTTTTCATCCTGAAGCAAAAACAGAGGAGTCCTTGAAGCACTGATTTCTAGTTTGAATTCTTGAAAAAAGAATGGACTTTTCACCTATAGAAAATAGAAAAGAAAAAAATTTTGCATGGTAAAATTTAGAGAAGTTGAAGTCTGACCTAATAAGAAGGGATTGTTTAGCTGAGAGGAGAGGGTTGAGGGAAGAAAAGAACATGTCAGCAACAAGGGTTTTGGAGCTAATCTTCGGTTGCTTAGAGCCTTGGGATTCTCAAGACCGTTATTTGATTTAGATTTTTAGAGAAGAACTCTTCAGTTGAAGGGTCCTTGTTTTATCTTTCTATTATTTCCTGAACAGAGAGAGGTCTCTTCTTAACTCTAAGGAGAGAGAGAGAGAGAGAGAGAGTTGGGTTAAATTGAAAGTACACGCTTTGTGACAGGTTTTAGAGTGGGAAAAACATACCAAACTCAAATATGGAATGGGAATGGGAATGGGAATGGGATGCAGTGGCACCTAGAGCGGTAAGAAATAAATCGCATATGGCTTGCAAGTTGTGACAAAAATTAGATGGTGAAAACCAAAACAAGGGGAGTTAGGCCACCACCAAAAGAAAGCAACGAACAAGTTCGCAAAATATCAATCAAGCTTTTACATGTTTTGTTTTGTTTTCCTTTCTGGGGTTTACAAAGTTTCGGAGAGTCCATTATTAGGTCAAAGAACAAGGGAAAATTCGGAGTATAATGTTTTCTTTTATATATTAAGAAATATGTATGGTCCGAAATTTTCTTTAGAATAAAAGTAGATTTCTTGGAGATACTGGATTTGTATAAAATTAACGAATAGACATGTGTTATCCCTTTCTTACATAAAAATTTCAATTGGAATCCCATGTGTTACAAATAAAACTAATCCAACATATAATATATCCCACAAAAGAGAAGGGGCTTTATACAGACATCTAAGAGATAAATGAATAGTTAATTTATATTAGGCATAGCCATTCCTTAAAAGAAAAAGATCTATCTACAATTCTACAAATTCAAAAATCAGTTATGAAATCCATACCAATTTTTTTTAACATAATTTTGTTCTTAGCTATAAATTTATTAAAAACAAAGAGTTATGTACATATAATCCTTTCTTTTATTTTATCAATTTAAATATTAGGTTAGCACAAAGAAAATTTGATAAATTCTTTTTAATATATCATATCGATGTAGAACATTTTTAAAATCATTTCGGATATGATTTAATTTAATTTCATTGATATATAAACTTCCTTATAATACTTTTTATAATCAAATTAATAAAACTAAACAAAATATACATTGAATTATAACTTGAAAATTTTGAAATATATAGTTAGTAAATTCAATAACAATAAGTTTTACCTTATTTTTCTGTCACTGAAGATCAATTCTACTTTCTTCTCCCACTTCAAATATATCTCATGATTAGTTTTGCTTTAAAAAATTAGAATCTTTATCTTAATACTTCTTAATTTTTTGTTCAAATCATCACAAAAACCATCCTTCCTATTTACACTCCTATAGATGAATTAATCATGTGATCGAACTCACCCATGTTTGTGGGTTCTAGGTTATCGAATCCTAACATTATGTTCATGAGCAAGATCATCGGTCTCTTGACCTGTATTCTTGGCTATGAACTCCTCTAGATGTGAAATAGCTCATCTCACAGGCCTTTACTTTTAGGATCTCAACAGACTAGCCCATCTTAAAGACTAGCTACTTCAGTGCTCAATAAATCCATCTCATTCATAACCTCTCTAAACCTTAAGTTCATCACCTCCAATTATTGTTGCATATCTAAATAATATCATTCTGGATTGTTCTTATTTTTTGAAGGTGATGACCCACATATAGTTGACATTGTCAAGGTCCGAAAAATCATGCTAATAGTAATAGAAATATATCCTCACACACTTCCTCCAATGTTTACATTCAATAGATATCACTCCTTTTATATTTCACTCAAATTCTTGGCTTTTCACAATAATATGCTCACATTTTCGCTTTTTTCCACTCAATCTCCAAAAATTCAATTCTTAAAGAAACTATATCACAACAATTCAAAAAACAATTAACATCCTAGTTATGTAGCAATTCAAAATAATATATAGACTCAAAAAGCAATAAAAATTAAAAATTGTCAATACGAAACTACAAATATGAAAATATGAATACAAAAATGGATTTGTGCGAAATATAAATAATGCGAAGACATATAAAAAATTTAGAGAATAATAAAACTAATGAAATAAGACTCAAATACCTCAAACTAAGCAAAGAATCTTTTTTTTTTACTCAGCCAAAACTACAAATAAAGAAAGATATTGACGTGAAACTACCCATTATGAATTTGTTTATGTAATTTTTAGAAATAACCTAATAAATTATGTCTAAATAATTTCAAAATCAATATATGACACTAAGATATCCCAAGAATCAAGAATTTGTAGATTTGAGTTGTTTAATTTCTAAGATTTGATAAGAAAACCTAATTTGCGGCCTAAACCCTACCTTTTCCCTTTTCGTGATTTCTTGGATTTATCTTCATCTTTTTTTAACTGAAAACAACTAGATCATAAATAATTTTTTTCTTCTTCTTTTTTACTTTTTTTGCAAGTAGGTTTTAGAATAAGATAATGATGAAACTAAAATATAAATTGATATAATTTGATTTTTTTAGCCCTACTTTGATAATAACTTCTAAAAACCTCGTGGATAAAAAAAGACATAAAAAACCCATTGTAAAACTGAACCTTCTCAAGATAGCTAAATCTGGGCTTGTGATTGAACTTGACATAACAATAACTTATAACTAACACTAAGACTATAAAAATCGAACCCCTATCCAACACCTATGAAGAGATACGAATGAGTGGTATGGAAGAAACCATGAAACTTGGTTAATTCATTTATAAGTTAGAGTTGTTCAATGAAGATTGTAGGCCTATGTCTTACCTTTCCATCCATATAAATTGGACCTAAATCTGAGATATATAGCTCTAGATATGACCCAATTACCGAACAGTGTTCCGGTTTGGATTGCACCGACATCTCTTTTCTAAGTTTGGCCATCTCTTTATCCTTGCAATTTAAGTTCTTCAAGTCATCAATCAATCCTTTCATTTATGTGATAGGCCTGCATTAAAAATAGATATTTACCATAAATTATAGGTATCTTATATTATTAGATACATTATTATAAAACATATTTTAGTTAAGGAGTTATTGATATTTCAAGTGCAAAATGATGATATAAAACCATGATAAAAATGCACTTTTAAGTACTAATCACTCACACATAATGGATGCAACAATGATGTATTATTCAACCTAAAACAATAATGTTTTACAAGATAATATTTATATTTAGAATAAAATAAACCCTAGTTAACCTATTGTTTTAGATCAACCCAAATTAAAATAAGGCTCAAAATATCTCAAAGAAAGCTAAAAACATGAATAATAATAATAATAATAATAATATTTTTGAAAAATAATGTTAAGTTGCCATATACGATAGGTTAGAAGAAACAATTATTGAATGGAATTCTTGATTGAAAAGGACCCTTAGTTGAAAATGTGTTGTGCTATCCTATGGAATCCTAAACTAATAAGAAAAAAACTTCAATTAATTCTTCCTTAATCACTATGTTTCCTCATATAATAAGGAATCCTCCCATATCTCCTCTCAAAATAAATAAAGTTTGATAGCCCAACTTATTAAATAAGATAAGTTCATTATTTTCATTTTTTTTTTGCAGCAATAAAACCCAACTTAAATTAGATGGTTCTCTTTCATCTTAATGAATTAAAAGGCATGCCATATATCATTGGAAAGATATGAAAGTCTAGTTTTCATCCCAAGTAAAATCATATCAACATTCAATATGTAGCTCCAATTATAACCAAAAGAGTAATGAAAGGTCAAACAGTCCGAATCTAGTCTTCTTCTCTCAATCCTTGTGTAATAGTCTTGGTTCCACTAACAAGCCCCTCTTGAAACGAAATCAGATTAATCAAGGCTTACTCTTTATTATTACAAATCCTCATGAAATCTATCTTAGCTCATGTATCTTGAAGCAATCTATTGAAAGCTTCTATGAACTTCTTAAACCTAAGTCTAGTAACTGGAAGAACTGGAACCTCCAATGGATCTTTTAATGGTTGGATCGTATCACACATGGAAACAAATAAGCATATAGTTATTGAAAGTAATTAAGGAATCCTCCCATAAATCTAATCATTACTTGTTGAAATTGTAGCCTCCTTGAAATTTACATTGATCGAAATACTTGGAATAAGCCTAATGAATACATATTTGATATTCTTTTTGTTTCATGTTATAATTGGCCCATTTCTAATGGATCCTTTGTTATAGTCTAGATCACATCACATTTCTTCTCTAAGCTTTAAGGATTATTTTTTAATAGATAAGTTAATAAGTAAGGACTAAACATTTAAGATATTTTAACCCCAATACTTCTAAGTTCTTTTCCATTCTCAACTTCTTGAGGATCACTGCTAATTGACTCATTAGTTCTCCTAGTTGTCTTTTCTTCATATGTATTTGTATAAGAGAAATAATTTTAAGAAATGAAGCATTCCTATATTTAATTATTATATAAACACAGATATCAGAAATATTTAACTTATGCATAAGAAATTGATGACTAACATTATAATTATCATATCTTATGAATATATAATTGATATTTTAAGCCCTATTTTGAGTTTCTTTTTTATTAGTACTTAAAAGTGCATTTTTATCAAGGTTTTGTATATCATTTTGCACTTGAAGTATCAATAACTCCTTAACTAAAACATGTTTTATAATAACAAGTATGATACCATAAGATACCTTTAATATAAGGTAAATATTCATCCTAAATACAAGTCTATCACATAAATGTAAAAGTCTGAATCTGTCCTGCAGCCTAGACATTGTTCAGTGTTCAACATATATCTCGAGTTCTAGAAGTTCAAATGACCTTAACTTTTTTTCCTAGAAAGTTGAGACAATTACCCTGAACTTTCATAAGTAAGGTTGGTTTTAATTTTGATGTTATCAATGATGTTTTATTTAGACAAGAAGATAAGGATTGTCACCAAGTTAAGAGTTGGCCACCCACTCAATAATTAGTCAATAAATCAATAGTTACTTGAATTGATGTGCAATGGAACTTCTAAAAATAAAGACCTTGATAAAGTAATGGAGTACTTAGACTTGTTAACTGAAAAATACTCAAAATTAGGATACCATAGGTACTTATGAGGCACCAAGTAAATCTCAACCTCATACATCTAATGGAGGTATGTACAACCTTAAGGAAGATCATGACCTTCAAGCCAATTTTGCATCTTTAGCTAGAAAAGTCATGGCACTGGAATTGAAAAAGAGTGGTTAA